GCCACCGTGCTAGATAAAACTTCTTTAAGGCACCTGAGAGAGAGAGGGAAAGAACACCTCCAGAGAGCAGCCTGCTGATAGAACCTACTTCTAACAATATGGTGAGTGTCATTTTAAAATACCATGAGAAATATGATGTGGTGATCAAGGACTTCCTGCTTTAAGGGTTTCATGTATCAGGGTAACTAGACAAAAAATGTAGTTCCCAGGGTGAAAATTATATTAACAAAGAATTAGTAATAAAGCTGAATAAATGTAATGAGATGTGAAAGAGAGTGCATAGCACATTTTTTTCTGTCTTTCATAATTAGGCCCTGAAAGAAATGGAAATTCAGACAAAACACCTTCCTCATTACCAATTTAAATATTGGAAATTAAAATGTGTTGTTATTGGATGGCCAATTTTTTATTTTTTGTGGGTTTTTTTGGGGGGGTGGGCAGGGGGTCGCAAGGTGAAGATGCTTCCTTTAGTGGCTGTTTTAGAAGAAAGGATTTTGCAAAATGGTTGTTAACTGATTCTCGCTCCTGGATTTTACTCCTCCTTTCTTTGCTGAAATGATATTTACCCAAACTTTGCTGACAGCCTGCATGCTACAGGGGTGGCCCAGAATCATCCTTTGTTATTCTCACCAGCTATTTTTCATATCTATTAAATCTCAAAGATTCCCAGTGTAAGTTGGAAAAACAGTATGTGCTTAATTTGAACCAATTAATTCCACAACAAATACAATCTCTCTTGGCCTCTTTTATAAACCAGAACATCAAACAGCTGTTCTCCCATCCCAGGAAAACTAGCATGTAACTTTTACTAGGGAATATTAGGTGAAACAAGACACCAGACAGAGGGATCTATCTCAAACAATAAATCATGTTTATTTATTAGTGACTCAAAGCATGTAAGAGAAACTTTTCATGAAGTTTTTATTTCTACATTTTATAAATTTAGAGTAACAGTGACTAATCTCTAGTTCCTCTCCTCTGTCTTAGTGTTTTGTACAAAGCATAAAACTCCTTTCTAACACTGAAATAATATTCTATCTGAAAAACAAAATATGCAAAACAATGTTGTGTTATGGGGACAGTTACTAACCTCTGAGCTGGGTTCTAGAAACTTACGCTGTGCTTGAATTTACTACCATGTATGCTCAGTCTGCATAAGTATATCCTATCTATTAAGTACATTTTGGCTAGTTTTGTCTGAGTGAAGGAAGCTAGGTGACACACATATTTATCATAATCAAAGCACTGAAGGAAATACACATAGGCCTGGGAAGTATTTCAAAATGAGAAAAGGTTAGATGAGTTCTGAGCACTTCATCTATGTTGGCCATCTCTGTGATGTGCTTTGTGATATAGGGCTCCACTCAGTCTGGTGCAGGAGCTTTGCCCTGAGCTCTTGGAAAGCAAGTGGATTCAGCCTCCAAATATTTCTGCTGTATCAATCCTCTTCTTGTCTTCTACCTAAAGGAGACGGTGCAGATCTGGGAGCAACCTGCATCAGTATCTTCTGGGAGTTTTTGGCAGCTATTATCATTCTGAACTACTGTTGCTTTAAACTGTACTTGGCCACACAGTCTAGTGCAGATGCACTTCCAAAACATGGGTGGAGTGGAGGTTGTGAATTTATCGCACTGACTCTACGTGCTTGCTTTAAATTTTGAAAAGAATAGGAAGATGTGTGAAGTTTTTGCTTCTGTGAATTTGTTGAAACTGTAGTCTTTATTACAACTGCCACTGTACTTGTAGGCACGTGTTTGAATAGTCTTCCCTATAATTGCTCTGTATGTCTTTGTTTTTCACTTTTGTTTTTGCAGTCCCTGAGGACAAAGGTTATTTAAAGTCAGGTCAGTTTTAGTATGGATGGTCTGCAAGAGAGGTGGGGGTTGCCAAATTCAGGTTAATGCCCTTACTCTTCTCTGTGTTGGCTGGTGGAACTAAGCAAAAGCCCTGTTACCCATCACATCCCTTTGAAGTGTCCACAAGATTTGTCTGTGCTGTTCTTTTAAAATGCTCTGGCTGGGAGACAGAGCCTGGTATGGATTTGACTCAACTCTGATACCTTCATTCTGCTTGTGCCCATTTTTGTGTATGGTAACTCATATAGATACCCTTTACAGAAGAACTTAGTAGTAATGAAACTCTGCCCATGGTGTAAACCTGTGGTTTGCTATGCTTTTGCTCTCTTAGTACCTTGCTGCTATTGCTCTTTTCCTTTGCTTTTGGTGTTCTTCACCATTGCAGTTTCTTTAGAAAAACAAAGAATATTACCTTGAGGTGAAGCTAGCATAGACTTTGTGTGGAATCAATCACTTTACCTTTTCTACCTTTACAAAAACCAAAATATAATAGAGAAAAAAAAAATCCTTCCCACAAGACTGAGTAGTCATTTCTTCTGACTCTTTCTATAAATATTATCTTTCAGTAGCTGTGTTGTTTTTACATAGAGAATGTGGGTATCAAACTTGAATTTACAGACGTGGGGACCTCATAAATGGCTTTGTAACTGGAACAAGGCAGGTAATCACTATCTGCTGACTATATGAGAGAAAATGAAAGTTGCATTTACACCATAAACTGCGTATTTCTTGATTTCAGAGCTGGTGGTTGATTAACCTTAATGTAAATCTATATTAATTTTCTCAGTGACATTGTTCTGATTCTGTAGAAGGAAACGAATAAATGGCTTTTTCCTAGTTGTCATAGTTTTGGCTGGGATGGATGGATGCAGTTTTCTTTGTAGAGTCTTGTATTATGCTGTGCTTTTCCACGACACTAGCCAATCTTTTATTTATTCTCTTCAAATTAGTAGTGTGTTATATTTCATGGAATAGTTTGTATACAATCTTCTTGCCAATATAAAGATATTTAAACTGTAAAAGGTCCCGAAGGTCTCCAACTGAATTGATCTACGTTGTTTGGAAACACTGTTAAAATATTTGCATTCTTGTTGAAATGTGGGCCCTGAAAATGTGTGTTTATGGGATCAGCTCAAAAAACGTACTTTTATATTAAGGCAGATTTGCAAATGCAGGTCTAGGAAGTCAAACTTACTGTTTTGATTTTTTTTTTAAACAGGTCTTGATAAAATTTTCCTTAAATACACTCTTTGCACTCCCTAGAAGTTACATAACTGAAGTATTTTAATTATTTCCATGATGTTGGTTTGTTTTGAAATATCTATTTTGTCAGACTCAAACTAATTCAGTGTTCACCACTTTATTGTAAACTGATGCTTTTGTACATTGAGTGCTTTCAGAATCAACTTTGAGACTTTCACATTTTGGATACAAGGTCAACAAGATAATCAGTCGCTAGTGCTCTAAACTTTTTTCTCTACTTATCTTCTTGTTTTTAATATGATTAAATGTGTTACTTGGGTTATTAAGTTATTGCTAAATCTTTGGTCTTTTAGTGGAAGTTTCGAGGTCGAATTTTTACCTACAATAAAAAATGCATGTGTCTGTATTGAATAAATTTCTAGGTGTCAATACTCTGCAATTAACAGTCGCATGCTTCAAGACTTATTTCTCTCTAGATAGAAATTGTTCTTTAGTTATTGCTTTCAAATCTGGTCACAGGTGGAGAAAATAGGATAGTGAGCAAGGGCATTGGCTTTCTCCCAGTACTTTGTCTAAATGTGAAAAATGAAGATCTGATGTTTATTTCGTTAACATAACCCAAATTGTCCAAAAACTCTTCTTTGAAAAGACATTTCCTTTCAGCTTGTGGCAATGATAGATATTGAAACAACTAAACACCAGGCTAAAAGAATGAAAGGTGATATAAGAGATGCATAAGCATAATGAGGTACCTTACTGGCAAATAATCAGCTTTAGAAATATCGCCTGTACTTTCTATGTTTTCCATTATTTCTTGTCATGAAAGCTGTATTGGGTGACGGAAGAGTCTTGTGCTTAGAGAATTCTAACAGTTTTTGTCCTGTATGACTGAGGTGAAGATTTTTTGATGTCAGTCACTGGCAGACATATTAAGGACCTAAAATGTCTTGTTAATGGCTAATGCAGATGAGTGTTCTCTTTCAATGATACCTGTATAAGAACGAGTGAAGTAGAAGCAAAGATGCTGCAGTAGCTAATAGTAATGCCATCCCTGATGTGTTATCAAACAGCTAAAAATGTTCACCAACAGAATAAACAAAGGATTTGGAGAGTTAACTACATGTAGAAAAACTGAGTGTTTACCACAGAAGAAAATATACTTTCATACTTATTTTTTACGCCCAAACATTACTCCTTGAGAGTTGTCATATTTTATGAAAACTTTTATTAACACTTCCCAATGACCTTACACCCATTGTGTTTTTATCAGTCCCAAGAACCATAATCTGTTTAAAATATTTTTTTATCTTTATAAACACAATAAAGTAAGCTGTCCTGCACACAGATTTGTAGATCTCATTAGAGATGCTTTTTAAAAGGTACTCCATCTCTTGGGAAGATGATGACAAGTAATCTTGGCACACAAAGTTTTCAGACCAGAATGGTTTGTTAAAATAGATTGTTTAATCTTTCCAATGTTGTTTTGGAGTGGGTGTACTTTTTAATTGTACTTGTACACCACTTTATGACTTGAATGAGAGAAAGACGAGGGCATCTGAAAACAAATCTAGTGGCAATATCAGTTAGATCATATCCCAGGTGAAAAAATAGCCAAAGTATTTGTTTAAGTTTTCAAGCATTATCAAAGTCATGAAAGAAAAATGGCAGTTTTAAAACTCATTAAAGTTAACATTTGTCTGTATTGTAAATGAGGTATATTCCCCAGGGTAGTTAGCAGCTTTGGTGGCACAAGATGGGGGTAATTTTTCAGATGTACTGTTTCCAGTGGGCCAGTGTCCTAAGGCTTTGCTTTAAATGGCCTTTTTATGCAGTAGGATAATGGGCAGTTTGTGCATTGCTAAATCAGCCCTATTTTGTTAGGAATGTTACAGTCAGGGCACTTACAATTTGTCAGAGGAAATGCAGAACATCTCTACAGGAGTCTGTTTAAGAGGACATCATTTCTCGATAAGCTCTTGCTTAGGTCAACATGCAGCACTGCTCTTACACTATTCCCCTGTTGCTTCTGCCACACGGGAATG